GCTCCCGCCTCTCTCACGGGCGCCGCCGCCGCGGCCGCGACGGCCGCGGCCGCGTGCGCGGCGGCGGCCGCGGCGCGCTGCTCCTGGCCATACAGCTGGCTGCGCGTCGGCGGCAGCGGGTCCCAGGTGAGGCGCTCCACCGGCGCCTCCTTATGCAATGGGAACCAATTGCGGTGGCCCTTGCTTTTGGCACCCAGCTCGACAACGAGCACCTTGCCCCTGCGGCGGCCCTCTGCTAGCTCGAGCCGCAGGGGCTCTGTGGCAAGGGCCGGCGCGGCCTCCACGGCTGCGGCCGCGGCGGCGTCGGCGGCCGCGGCGGCGGCCTCGGCGTCGCGCGCCGCCTCCCTCTCGTGGCGCAGGGTGTAATGCGCGCGCGCCGCCTCCACGCGCAGCACGTGGCCGCGCCACTTGCAGCCGTTGTACTGCGGCGGAGGGAGGGGCCACGCGCGAGAGGGGCGGCGGCGCTCGCTGCTGTGCTGCGCTGCCGCGGGTGTTGCAGAGCTGCTCGCAAGGCGGATCCTTATGCACGGGTCGGGCTGGCCAGCCCTCCGCCTGCTCCCTTGATGCAGAGGCCTGCTGCGGCCCACAGACCCAGCGGCGGGCTCACCAGGCTCAGGCAGCGCGCCAGGGATGCATTGTCCTTCGGCTCGAAATCGACATAGGCAAAGCCGCGGCATTCGCCAGGGCTGGCGCCGAGGCCCTTGCTGGGGACGATGTCGCAGCCAGCAACGGCCCCAAACGGCGCGAAGCGGCCCTCCACATCGCGCTTTGTAATGTCAGGGGGCAGGCCCCCGACGAACAGGCGCATGGCGGCCGAGCCGGCTGGCGGCCGCTCTTGGGGTGGTGCTGCGCCCGCTGACGGCTGGATGCAGCACCTGCAGCGGCAGCAGCAGCAGTGGCGGCGGCACGCTACGCAGTGCTCCTGCGCTGGGGTCGCAATATGTTCAGCGTATAGACGTAGGCGATGTCAAAGTGCAGTCAGATAAAAAGCTCGCAATCAACGGACAAAGATAGATTTGGCAGGCACTTGGTCGTCACTTTGCTACCGGTATTCGATCCAGCGACATCACGCCGTGTATTCCGTGTACAACTGCAGTTTATAGGACAGATACGTGATCCTGTGCGACGGATAACACTAAGACTGCTGAGGAAGGGACCCGTTGCCTGCTCCGGGCTCGCCAGATCTGCGAGTCAGGATGCGGAGCCTAGCAGCGCTGGTCAAGGACCAGGCGCCTGCCTTTGTGCGGGCGTACGCGGGTGCCGTGGCGCCGGTGGCCAGCTCTCCCTTCCTGCGGTTCTCGAACCCGTACCCCACGCCCGTGGACACCACGCCGCTGCTTTCGACCATCCCCGAGACAAACGTGAGCCTCTGGTGTCAGCAGCAGTTCCTGGGGCTGCACACACTGATTTGATCTGCCGTCTCATGACCCTTGTTTGCTAGCTGTGGCCCATCTGAGTGTGGCAGGAGGTCATCTGGACGACATCATCGTGAATGCGTGCCTGGGCAGCATGCCCACGGTCCGGCCCCGCGATACCCTACACTGCGTTGCCGTCGCAGCACGCGACACCATCGTTGCCCCGCTGTGCCGCGCTGCGCCATCACCGCGACGCGATCCCCCGCGCTCCCCCCGCAGATCACGACGCTGGACAATGGCTTGCGCGTGGCGACGGAGGCCAACCCGCACGCGGAGACGGCGACCGTCGGGATCTGGATCAACTCTGGCAGCCGGTTTGAGACGGACGCGAACAACGGCACGGCGCACTTCCTGGAGCACATCCTGTTCAAGGGCACCAAGGTGATGGGTGCTGGGGGCGTGGGGGCCGGACCGGGTGGGCTCCATGGAGGCGGACAGCCGCCACGGCACCGGCGGCCGGCTGGGTCAGCAGCAGGGGCAAAGGTAGCAGCAGCAGTGGGTGCTGCAGAGTCAGCTCGCACACGCGTTGGTGCAAACACGCACCAAGCTGCTGCGGCTCTAGGCACGCCAAACTTGAGCCCTGCATACATGTTGGTGTGTATCGCGACCGTCCTAGCCCTGGGCAGCGGCGACGGCCGGCCACCGCACATGCGCCCGCCGCACGCTGAACCTTGACTCCACCTGGTCCCTTTCCTGACCGTGCACACGAACCAAACCCCCCCCC